TCCTCCGCCTCCTCTACACTTATGAGATCCGAAACGGAGCCTTCAACACTTCTGAGATCCTCCGCTAGCTCCTACGCCTCCGCACTGGCAACCATACACTCCTCAAAGCGCGTAGACCACCCAATTGCCCTAACATCGAGAAGGCAGCGGTATGGACCAAAGAAACTAGCCTGGTGGGGAGGACTAATGGGAGAAGCCACTTCCAAAGTGCTGGCCAAGAACAAAAGGGAGTGAAAGCTAAAAGCATATAGGCCAAGGCCAAGAGCAAGAGGGAAAAGCTTAGAAAACAAAAGCTAGGAAAGCGACAGCACGATCGATACGATGCAACCTTCACCTACTTCCCACTTATATAGCCCCCGCCCCCAGCGCTTCAACTTCAGGGGCCAACAGTCGCATCCGTTCAAAACGCATTGGTTCTAAAGCCACCGCAGCGAACCAAACGACGACACGTCACCAGCGCAACGGTCTGATTCGGGCGACCTAGGGGGAAAGGGGGCAGCCTCCACATGCACAAGAGCCTCCGCACCTCAGAACCTAAGGACCAGATTTTGAGGACAAGGCCCGCCAGCATCAAACCATGCCCTCAAGGGGGAACTGTTGGGACAAGGTTACGAGTCGTGGAGGCTCTAAGGCTCATAGTGGCGCTAAGAACTAACCATTAACAAAGTTCTATGAGCATTGTGTAGGGAAAAAAGAGAAGGGAACCTCCACCTGGTTGGCTCCCCTGGGCGAAGGTCCAGAAGCAGCAGTGAAGGCCCCCGAAGGTAGCCGAAGGTGAAGACTTTAGCGATACAGGCAGAGGCTACGGCCCTGGTGTCGACGCGAAGGTCTAGGCGGAGGCACCTCGGGCAGACATTCTAGGAGCTAGGGAACCTCATGCGAGGCGGCGGTGCTAGGCCATGGGCCACAGATGGACTCACAGTAGCGGCCCAGTAAGGAAAGGCGGTTGAAGAAGAGGATACCCAAACTACCCCGGACAGCTTGTATAAGCACAGGGATTGGGGGGTTATGATCCCGGATACCAACAGCAGACCACATGGGCTACGCCCCCAGGGGCAGCTCAGCCCACAAGATGAAGCCTTGTGGGGCACGACGCTGCTCGGTGTCTCCCGCAAGACACCAGGAAGATATCCTGAAGATACTACGAGATCTGTTAGGATACGTATGATCCCAAGATTCCTATAATATGTTATTACATTCCGGTTATCTCCTAGATCTAACTGTCTTGTTACCCTGCTCCCCGGACTATATAAGGCAGGCAGGGACCCCCTCCAAACGCACGCAATATCATACGATAGCCAATACAATCTAACAGACCACAAGAGTAGGGTATTATGTCATACTGACGGCCTGAAACTGTCTAACTCGTGTGTCTATGTTGCCTTCTTGTTATTGATTACACGCATCTCTGCAGATCAATCTACCTTTATGGGATATCTCTCGGAGGACTGCCGACGATATTCTATCAACAGTTGGCACGCCAGGTAGGGATGTGCATGCTGTTTTCATGACAAACAAGATGGTACATTCCGCAAGCTCTTCATCCCTCCCATAGCAAGGCTAGATTTTCACGGTCGGATCGATCTCGTGGATCATCAACGCTGACGGAGTCAGAGAGCTCATTGAGCCGGTGCATATCAATTCTGCGCTGATCACCCCAACACCTACGACTGTAGATCTAATCAGAAATCGCCTCTGAGGTCATCTTCATCAATGATTCGACGCCCGCTCCCCCGCTACCAGAGGAGGCAAGTCAGCAATGACGATCTGATCGCGTCCATCGATCGGGTTGGCCAGAAGCTCGCCGATTGCCTCTCCATCATGGAATCGGCTCTAGACACTCTCGTTCAGTGCCGATCACCCTCCGATCTAGATCTATTGGAGGCTGCTCAGGAAACTCTTGGGGTTATGGCCCTACCCTTTGCGCTCACCAACGTCGCCGCCACCAACCAAGATGCCCTAAGGGGCAAATTCGCCGACTAGGTTGGAGATGTCCATCCTCTCGCCGACCAGATCACCGACCAGATCGCCATGATGAATCAAGCTAAGTCATGCTTTAATATTCTTCTAAATATTCTCCAATCTTTGTATATCGCCATAATATTTCTCTGAGCTGTTTTCTCCATGTTTGCTCTCCAAATGATTTTCTTTCATGTATACCATCTTAAAGATGACATACAGCTAAGCATAAGGCAAATCCCCGAATAGTCACGTTGATGCTCGGACGCCTCCAGAGATGGCCCTGTCTCCGGTTTCTCCAAACACGTGCACGAGCATCTGCCCTCTGCATTATGGGTGGTCGGCAGCAGCTCCTTAGCGACGCTTTGTTCTTCCTACACGCACATGGGCTCTGCGCTTTGTGTTATGGTTAATGGGCTAGCTAGGGCTAGAGACTCAGCTACACACTAACTGGTAGGGCGGTTTATATTAAATATAAATACATCTCCATAATAACACTAAGTGTTCACACCAACTAATCACCAAGCTGCATACGCTATTTTATCACCATTGCTGATTCTACTCCGGAGTTCATATATTTCTACATCATGTACTACCCGTTCTACATATTTGTATTGCAGGATTATCGTCCAGGTGATCGGACCACCTGGTGCTCGGACTTCTCCACCAATCAACTGGTCGGACCGCTAGGTTCATGGACTTCGTGGCCGACCAGTTGATCGAACTGTTCACCGGTCGCTTCTACTCAATGCTCACTTCGCCACCAACCAGTTGACCGGACTATTCGTCGCTCGTGCTTCATCGCCAGCTACGCCAGGGACTCCTCGGTGCTCGGACATCGCCAGCTACGCCGGGGACTCCTCGGTGCTCGGACATCACCAGCTACGTCGGGGACTCCTCGGTGGTCAGGTCTTGCTACGTCTTATTGGTGTGCTATCAAGCTGCTCCATGCTGTTCGGATCAGGGTGCTGATCTTGGGCAGCACGTCTGGGGTCTTGATACGCGCATGTCAGATGACGTGAGCAAAAAATTTTCTGTTGACTGTTGTTTCTGACCCTAGCACCATATGACCACGTCACCTACTGTCAGGCTCCAGAACTAAGTGGGGACACTTCACCTTATGCTGAAATTGCTTTTTCTCGTTTCGGGGCTATGCCCGGGGACTAGCTGCCTGCTCGGCTAGTCTTCTATTATTCTTCTACTTTGGACCCTGGCATCACATGACTACGTCATCTACTGTCAGGCTCGGGGACTAAGTGTGCACACTTCACCTCGCGGTGAATGTGTTTGCTTTATTCTGGAAGACTCCGGGCCTCTTGAAGCTGAAGAAGACTATCTCTCTTTTTCGGGGTCGGACTCTAAGAGGGCACACTTGGTCCACTGCGAAGAAATTTTCGATTCTGAACTTGAGCTCCTTACATCCTTATGGCAAGCCGTACTTGGGTTATACTGCTCGACGATGGTTCACACTACTCGGCGATGGCTCACGATGCTCGGCGATGGTTCACACTGCTCGTCGACGGTTCACGCTGCTCGGCGATGGTTCGCGCTGCTCGGCAACTGCTCACAACTTCTTGGCAACTCATCACGGTGGTCGGACCATGAGTTTCACTGCTCGGCTTTGTTCGCACCTGCTCGGACAAGCTCAAGACGACGTTGCACAACGGATACAAGGCGCTCAGGGACTAGCTGTGGGGGGGAGGGGGGGTACGACCCCGGATACCCATGTCAGACCACATGGGTTGCGCCCCCAGTAGTGGCCCAGCCAACAAGATGAAGCCTTGCGGGGCACGACGCTGCTCGGCGTCTCCCGCAAGACACCGGGAAGATATCCTGAAGATACTAGGAGGTCTGTTAGGATACGTATGATCCCAAGATTCATGTAATCTGTTATTACTTTCTAGTTATCTCCTAGATCTAACCATCTTGTAACTCTGCTCCCCGGACTATATAAGGCGGGCAGGGATCCCCTCCAAACTCACATAATATCATACGATAGCCAATACAATCCAACAGACCACAGGAGTAGGGTATTACGTCATACTGACGGCCTGAACCTGTCTAACTCGCGTGTCTCTGTTGCCATCTTGATCTTGATTACACGTATCTCTGCCGATCAATCTACCTCTGTGGGATACCCCTCGGAGGACTGCCGACGATATTCTGTCGACAAGGATATACCAGGAATGTACCATGACGGTCGCAAGGTATTGTTGTAATACGGCGCAACAACAAACAGTGCCGTATAAAAGGGGTACAAATCCTGTAAAGGAGATGTTGGTGAATACATTTATAAAACTCTAATTGTACCTGGACCCACCTACCACTTTCCACATCTTCGCCCAGGGCATCCGACTGGGCGAAGACCCTCCGTGTCTCACCTGCTGGAAACCTGGTTTTCCAACGAGGTGCATCACAACTTTGTGGGCTTTACCGTCCATACGTGCATTGTTTTTTTTTTTACAAAACTAGAGGGGGCTTTACCCCATACAGATATTTAAAAAGAAATTAAAAAGGTAGAGTAAAAAAATAACAGTTCAAGAAATCAAAAAGGAGCTAAAGAAAATGCTAGGTGTGACTTAATTTGCGCACCCTGGAAATGTTAAATGTTATTTATTGAGCTCCATGCGTACGCGTTGGCTCTGGTCCTGCGTACTGTGGTCGTCCTTGAACCTTTGCTCGCCTTGAAGGATTACCCACATTACAAGCAAGCATCACTTGATGTCTTTTGCTTGCACCACACAAAAGTGCACAAAGAGAGATTCAGTGTGAAAAGAGAAAGTAGCAGAAACGATATATGCTTTATATCCTGTCCATCATCAGGAACAAATACCTTGAGTGCTTATAGGTTAGTTGCACACATTGACAAGCATAATGTGCATTGCCTCAACCACAAAATTTGGTGCTTCATACAACCAACATCCCCTTTATTACCACAACTCTATACGCTCAGCGGATACACACAACTCTGAGCATTAGCAGCGCCACTGCTATCTTCTGAGTTCTGACACACAACACATAGCATTAACATCAGGAGAACAATGGCGGATCTCGCCGTTGGCATCTCCAAGGCGGCGGTGGAGGCGCTGGTGAGCAAGATCCAGTCTGCCATCAAGGAGGACGCTGAGAAGTGGCTGACCGTGCAACGTGACCTGGTGTTCATCACGGGCGAGTTCGAGATGATGCAGTCCTTCCTCGACACCGTCAGTGAGGAGCATGTCAAGAATAAGATCGTGGGGACATGGGTGCGGCAGGTCCGCGACCTGTCCAACGACGTGGAGGACAGCATCGATTTCATCCTCCACATCGACACGACAAAGAGGTCGTGGTGGCTACGGCTGCTGCCGTCCTGTGGGGGCAAGGCGGGAGCGCTACTGCCGGTGGACGAAGCAGTGGCCGAGACAACGCTGCTCAGGGCCCGGGTGGTGGACGTGAGCCAGAGGAACATACGCTACAACCTCATTAGCGACTCTGGTTCCAAACCCCTGGCCCTGCCGCCGCAGGAAATGGCTGCTGCAAGCACAAGGTTATTTGGTAACATTCTCCTCAATGCCACTAAGAAGAAAAGTGGGCTCTCAGATGATCTTGCCGGATTGATCATTAGGGAAGATAAGGAACTTCAAGTAATTTCGATATGTGGAACAGGAGACGATCATGGGAAAATATCCATCATCAGGAAGGCGTATGGTGATCAAAGGATCCATAAGAACTTTCAATGTCGTGCTTGGGTGAAGCTACAGCATCCGTTCAATCCTCATGAGTTCATCCGAAGCTTGGTGGCTCAATTCTACACAAACTCTTGCGAAGCACTAGGAGGAGAAGTTGTCGGCGTACGTGCCCTGACAATGATGGAGGGGAGCCAAGGTGCTTATAGTCTCACCCAGGAGTTCGTGCAGCAGGTCAACAAGCAGAGATACCTCGTCGTTTTGGAAGATCTGTCCACCATCTCACAGTGGGATGACATCAAGACATATCTACCCGACATGAAGAACGGGAGCCGGATCGTTGCGTCGACTCACGACCTCGAAATTGCTAGCCTTTGTCCTGGGGAACCGTGCTTAGTATCCGAGCTGAGGCAGTTTTCAGCTGATCACTCGGTCTACGTCTTTTACAAGGAGGTAAATCTTGAAAACTGTTGGATCTAGTATGTGTTAATGGTGCATGAATTATATATACATTTCCATTAATGAATTTAGTATTTACTAGTCTATGACCACGTTCTCTCGCACATGCTATAATTTTAGAAGACATAAGCACTAGTTATTGTTTAATGTATTTGACTAATATAAAAATAGATATATTAAATTATTTGTTTTTCTCTTTATTCATTTCTAACACAATATGCATAATATATTACTCACTCTGTTGTAAATTATGTCGTTTTGATTTTTTTGGTATATCAATTTTGCTATGTATCAAGACATATGTTATACCTAGATACATAGAAATAATGATGTACCAAAAAAGTCAATTGAGCAACTTATAATTTGGAATTGAGGGAATAGTCTTCGTAGTCTCAACTACTGATCTATAGGTTCATCCATATCTATACTTTTATTCATTTGCTTGGTACCTCTGTGTATCTTCAATATATATTCAGTTAAAATCTTATGATGTCAAATACATTACTCCGGTTTACATCAGCATATATCTTATGATGTCATGAATCTAAATTCCAAATTTGAAATATAATAGTCTAATCTTTTGCTACAGATTTTTTTATCCTTAAATTAAGGTGCAACATTGGTACTTACGGTATTTTTTATTAACACTCTTATATATTTTTCAAAATAAAGACTTTAGGTTATAGACTGTATTTTTAAGTACTACAGTAGCACGAACAGTCATTTGAAACCTGCACCAATTGCTTAAGAATAGTGGTAGACTTCGAAACAAGGTCTAGGATGGGTAGCAGTGATAACCTCCAGATGATATCAAAATTTAAACCTTATTAATGACTATTTACTAAAATCTTAAAGGCTTGGAAAATATAGCTACCTATAGTCTGCACTAGCCTCCCTCACTTCTCAAGTTATTTGAATTTTCATATCTAAAAATTATGTGTACTAATACTTATACTATTTATATTGATATGGCCAATGTTTTAGTTAACATGTATAAATATACCTATATAAATTATATGTCATGTTCATAATATAATATTTAATAATTTGTTCTTGTAAGAGTAGATAAGCAAATAACTTTCATGATTACTGAAACAAATCATATATCTCTCATGCATGCATGTTTACTTTGTATATATGCATGATGCCACAACATGTATATTTACTTTAATTAAAGTTTAATACATATTAATATTAATATTAGTATTAACATTAATAATAATAGGAGTGGGTAATATACATATCGAAACATATATATGCCGCCGCTAGCCAACTGTTCCAGCGGTCAGACCCGCACAATGTTCTCATTTGGGGTAGTAGATGTTAATTATATTTTTATAACCTTGGACAAACACAACTACAATCTACATGTTAAGAGACATGCAAAAACTCATTTCTAGAGCAAAAAGCAATTTGGTCGAGTGTAGGGCTATCCAGTAGGACGCTACGCACTAGGGTTCAAACCTTGGTATCACACCTTTTCCTCTAGGCTAGAGCCTCCCAATCTCTTTCTTTACGTTTCTACGCATGCTTAAAAAACTCGTTTCTAGAGGAGGAGGGGGCGCACACACCTCTAGATGACGGTATGTTTACCATTGTAGTTTCCAGAGGCAGCTCATTTTCTCAGCGCCCAAATGCAGGCGCCCCAACGACCCTATCTAGGAAGCCTATCTAGCACCTTGTTGAGGTAGCCTGCTGATCTCCATGAAGCTGCGATGTTGGCAGACACTGTGCCACTGAATCTGGAGCCTATGCTACCAGATCAAGAGTTCGTATCGCTAGATCTAGAGTATGTGCCGCCAAATTTGAATTCCATGCAACCAGATCGTGAGCGACGACACAATCGCCAACCTCCGCCCACTTGTGGACGATAATCTAGACCCCGCCACTAAGCTCTGGTTCCTTGTGTCCTACTCCTAGGCCGAGGTCATCGATATATTGTGGCTTGTGATCACCAATGAAGGCGGCGAGTCAGAAAGGGGTGCTAGGAGGGGCAAAGCAAGTCAGGGTAGCAGTGGAAGGGGCAGGAAGAGGCAGTGGGTTAGGGAGGGGCAGGTAGAGCTGGCAGTGCCATGGGTTTGGAACCATGACAAGCATCGTGTTGTTCGATGGTGGTTGATGTGTGTGACTCCGGTGGCTTAAGCACTCAAAAACACTCAGAGACACAGGCAATTTATCCTGTGGTTTAGGCTTCAGTGCCCTACTTCTAGCAATGTGGTGCCCTACGTCTAGCCATAGTCGTAGTCGAGTTTGTTGTTCAAATGGTAGTGCTATGCTAATATAGGGATTTGCTTGGGCTCTTGACCAAGTGGACGATTGATTGGTTTCTACCTTTGTTGAACCGGGGATCTCTTAGGTTTCCGTCCTTTTCTACAGGAGCCCATGCCTTGTCTTATATAATGGGGAGGCGATGGGAGTACAAATCGGGTGATGTGTCCCACTGTTTCTCTCCACAGGCTTCGGTCTTCATCGCCTGCTTGGCGCCGGGCCGAGTCCTTTGTCTTATAGTCTGGGCTGACAAAACCTCTACATTCCGTAACGCCTTAGCTACCACATGGTGTCAGTCTCTGAAGCGGGCGCCTTCCCTAGGCAAGCCTTCTCCTAGGTTCCTTGGCACACAAGGCCCTTCTCCTCATCCTGGGATGCTGCCTGGCAGATCATGAGCCTCCCACCGGGGAGTTCCTTGTCCTAATGTGTCATGCCTAGGGCGTGACCCTCACTTGAGGAGTGGCCAACAACACCCTATGGCGGTGCGGTGCTTTTGTGCCTATTAGGCTATGAGCGTCTTACTGATTCTAGAGCTGGTTTCTCCTCTTGGCTCGGGAGGAGCGTTCTCCCCGAGCCAAGGCTAGGTTGGCTACGATGGCGTGTAGCTTGGCCTAGCCCTTGAGCCCTAGCTAGGTCGGGACTCCATCGGGGAGGGCCACCTGCAGCCACCGAGCCATCTCTTAGTTGCCAGTGAGGTGTGTGCAAGCGCACCCGATGGGCGTAGCCCTGAGGTCTCGGCTGTCTCGAGAGAGTCAATCTGGGGTTTAGATGGACTGTCGATTCTATAACTTGGTGACTTAACACACCTGTGTTTAGACTCTCGTCAAAGCTACGATGGTCGAGGCGGTAAGCAATGGCGACACATTGAGGACAGAGATGGGGAGGATGAGGTGAGTGGGAGGAGAGGACGAGTAAGGAGTAAACTTGGGGCGGGGTAAGGGTTGGGTTTCTTGGCATAAAGTTTCCTGGAAATTCTAAGCGTATATATATGGCTAAATGGGCTTTTGTCTTTAGATGGGCCACACAATTTTCAGAGGTGGTTTCCTTAAAACGGCGGCATCGGTTGTAAATGGGCCCATTTACAATTTTGAGATGTGGTCATTATCCTTCAGCCTCCAATTATTTAAGTGAAAATTCATGACCACATTTGGAAAAAAATCCCTGTCTCCTAAATTCAATTTTGTAGTACTGAAATTTAAAATAGCATTAGTAGAAGTTTATAACAAACCTAGAACTAGCTATATGATTGGATATAGATAGTACTAGTGTAGGTCAATGATCCAATTGATAACAGACCATAGTGGTTTGATGCGAGTTGAGAAATTTTATGTTTCTCTTATTTGTATATGTCCTTATTTTTTTACTTCATATTGTCATAGGTGAATAGTATTTTTTTATTAAATTAGTTAATCTCGCTCCCAAATTCTATTCTCAACTCGTTCGTTCATCTCTCTGTCCGTATTTGCAGGCTTTCCAAAATGATACAGTCCATTCGTTTATAAGGGAACGCAACTATGGCCTTCTTGGGCGTGAGACACAAGTGAACAAACTTTTTGAGGAGTCCAAGAAACGTCGCCTTATTTCAGTGTGGGGGATGCCTGGTGTTGGGAAATCAGTTCTTGTCCGAGCTATATATGATAAATTCTACAAGCATACTTGGGTGAATGTATCCCATCCTTTCAATCCCACGGACTTCAACCTGGACTTACTCAAGGATTTGATTGCAAAATACGAGGACGTCCCAATGGAAGAGTGTCGGGACAATATGCAAGACAGTAAATGCCTTGTCGTCATTGATGGTTTGCGCTCCAAGGATGACTGGGATTTCATAAAATCTAACTTGAAAAAATATGGAGATCCTCGAAGCTGTGTCATTATCGTTACTTCAGATGAAAGTGTTGCCAAACATTGTGCGCCATCATCTAATGATGCAGTGTACAACATCAAAGGTCTAGAACCTGATGCAGCCTGTGAACTGTTTATAAAGGTGTGTTTACTCACAACACTGTTCCATTGTTTTATGTTCCAGTTATCTTGCTCAATTCCGTTGTGCGTAGTGATCTAACTTAAAAACAATGCAACACCCCAAAGCAATTTGGTTGCGGTGCTGAAACCCAGCCCCCACCCGCGCAAGAAAAAAAGAAGACTTTGTCCCTGAACTGTTAATACCGTGTCAGTTCACCTCCGAGCTAGTCACATTTGTATTTTGTGTCCCTTAATTATGAAATACAATGTTGAATTTTAAATGTAGAGATATAGATGACATGATACCAATCATAATTAAAATGACACTGCATCGGTAAAACACTATTATCAATTACCATTTGGCTTAGAGAAGTGAGGCATGTGGCTACGGAAAAATACAAGATCTGCCTAATTTCTTTTGTATCAAAGTTAATAAATTACCCAAATAGTAATTCACAACGCTTTAAAACGCAAGATAGTTCCAAGAAAATATATTTTGCCAAATTATTGGTAACTTTAGAACGAATCATTCCTCCGATACCCTTGGTTTATTTCTAGGCTAATTTTTATTTTCTCACTAAGTTTTTCTGCTTCGGGAGATTAAACTATGCATACTACGTTAGATGCCGCTCGTTTGGACATGTATAGCTACGACTGAATGCATTTTGATTTCTGAAGGAAAGATGAGCAACATCTGCCTCATTTCACCTTTTCTTCCATCTTAGTTTTTCACTGTCGGATTTTAAGAAACCGACAATGATAGCACATCACTGCTAGTTTTTTGCTAAAACCGACAGTGATAGGACCATCCGACACTGATATTCGAGTCTTCACTGTCGGTTCATATCACTATCGATTTTAACCAAGAACCGGCGGTGATATTGGGTCATCACTGTCGGTTTTAGCCAATAACCGATACCGATACTATCACTGTCAGTTCGTAGCTTAAACCGACAGTGATATGCTGCAAGAAAACTTTATAACTCTCTCATATGATGTCCGATGAAGAAGAACTTTATATCAAAGTTGTAGTACTCGATGAGATCTACAACTTTGTAGTTCAAACTTTTTTGATTTGAGATCGTTTCGATATCCAAATATACACCACAAGATTTTATAGAGTTAATACCAAAGGAGTACCATATGCTCCATAGTCATAATTGAGTGTGGAGTGGTAGTTAAGGATCTTGGATGCAGTAGCACCCAAATCAAAAGTTGTAGATCTTAAAAGGTTATGCAACTTTGTAGTTCACAACTTTTTTATTTAAAGTTGTTATGATGTCCCTCTATTTGATTGGCAAGATTTCATATAAGTTAACACCAACTAAGGCCATATGTTCCATAGTCATAAGTGAGTGTGTAGTGATATTTAATGATCTCAGATGAAGAAGCGACTAAAACAAAAGTTATAAATCTAAAAAAGTTATGTAACTTTATAGTTGACAATATTTTCGTTTGAAATCATCTATCTAACTAAAATCACGTTTGATTTCTAAAATTTTAAATTTGAATTTTTCAAACAACCTCGAATAGAGAAACGTCCGAAACAGAAGTTGTAGATCTTGAAAAGTTATGCAACTTTGTAGTTGACAACTTTTTCATTTGAGATCATTGATGTAGTGTAAAATACGGTTGAATTTTCTCAAAATTGAAATTCGAATTCTTCAAATGATCTCGGATGGAGAAATGACCAAAACCAAAGTTTTAGATCTCGAAAAGTTATATAACTTTGTAGTTGATAACGTTTTCATTTGAATTCGTTGAGGATCCCAAATACTCATTTTAAAATCAGATGAACATAAAATGGCTAGGACCAAAATCTCATTTGGACATAAGCTTCCTACAGGTGGAGTGGTTAGGGGACGAAAATGCGCTGCAAGAGGTTGTGAATTTGAGCGCCAGCGGCCGCGAAGCGTAACCTGTGACTATTCAGTGGGGTCCATCCCGGTATTAAAAAAATCCTTATTTTTTTAGCTTATTTTTTGGATTTTCTAAAAACCATATCACTGTCGGTTTTTTAGAACCGATAGTGACGTGCCCCCCTCATCACTGTTGGTATGCCACTGTCGGTTCAAAATCCAGCAGTGAAGGGAATTTTTGAACCGACAGTGATGTGAAGAACTAGGGTAGTGTATATGATAGTTTTCTCATCAATCCTTTCACAAAAGGAAAATTATGATAGCTATTACAGTATAGTGAACAAAAAATGGAGAGTTTGTTCAAGACAAGAGAGATATACAAAGAGAATATTGGTTAAATGCCTGCCAGTTTATCTAAGCTTGCACCAAGGTGATCAAGGTTACATAAGCCTAACAACTACAAGTTACTACTCCCTCCGTTCCAAATTACAAGACGTTTTGTCTTTTTTAGATATATACAAGTTTTGTTATGAACTTAGATATACACTATGTCTAGATATACACAAGTTTTCATTTTTTTATAACAAGAAATTATATGTGTAGTGGTGTCTTTGTTTAAAAAAAAGAGTGTTTTTCAATATCGGTATGCCATAATGTTTGAGCTAAAATAACTAAACTAATGTAGATTAAAAAGCTTACATAAGTTATTCTTATGAACATGGATATATGATTTTGTATGACTTGTTAATGTTATCCATACATGAGCCTTTAAGGGAACTTTTTTATTTTGATGTGCAGCCTTGCCAATGTTCTCACGAGCTGATAGTACAAGTGTTGTCGTCGTGCGGTTTAGATTCTGCAACTAAAATAGTAATTTGGAGTAGTTTTATTTTGCTAGCTGTTAGTAATTAACTAGTACTCTCGTTTTACCTACAGGCGTTCGATGAGGAAGTATGGTTTCCGATACTGAAAGAGTACAAGGTGGAAGAAGAAGCCAAACTTCTTTTGTCCAAGTGCGGTGGACTTCCCAGAGTTTTAATTACCAAGTGCGGTGGACTTCCCAGAGTTTTAATTACCGTGGCAAGATACTTGGGAAGATACTACATGCGTTGGATGAGGAAGGATGTGTTGAAACTGGAGTCGAGGCGTCTGAATGATAATAACTTGATGCAGGAGCTGTCGACCAACCCAGAGTTCGATTTCTTGCGGGACATACAAGCCTGGATGCATTCCTATTTTCATGCCTGTCCTCGCCATCTGAAGAAATGCATGCTGTATCTATCAATCTTTTCACAGGACACCATCATTCGGCGAAGGCGTTTGATCAGGCGATGGATCGCCGAGGGCTACTCAAAGGGCACCGACAGCAATAGCGTGGAGAAGTACGCAGAGAAGATGTTCGACGAGGTCGCCGCACTGAGCATCATGCAGCCAGTACTGGAGGCAGGCAAGGAGATTGGGTACCAAGTCAACGTCTTCTTCCGTGAGTACGTCTTGTCAGCGCCAGTGGAAGAGACCATTTTCTTTCCAGTGGAAGTCTCTGCACTGGAGAAGCAGGGGCATGGCCGCCTGACCACAGAAGGCATAGGACAGCACCTAGTCATTGGGAGCACCTGGCAGAACGACCAGATTTTGTTCGAGAGTTTGGACTTCTCACGGCTACGGTCTTTGACAGTATTTGATAACATTTTTTGGCCATACTATGTGTCGGACAGGATGAGGGTGCTTCGGGTGCTGGATCTAGAGAACGCAAGGGAATTAACTGATAATTACTTTAAGGGGATTGAGGAGCTGCCATCTCGTCTCAAGTTCCTGTCCCTAAGAGGACAGAGTGGAATCTCTCAGCTGCCAGGATCAGTGGGTGGCCTGTTGCAGCTGCAAACTCTGGATATCAGAGACACCTCCATTGTCAAGCTGCCACCATTCATCACCAAGCTAAGGAAGCTGCAGTACATTCGTGCAGGTTCCACGGTTGCATGGATGGACTATGAGGAGGGATCGATGCCGCCATCAAGTAACAGGTCGCAAACTCTGGCGTCCTGCTCGCCCAACAAGTTCCTCAGACGTGCTGGTGGACCTGTTGTTGGCTCTCGCAGTGGTGGTGTTGAGGTACCTAGAGGGATTAAGAGACTGCAGGCCTTGCAAACGCTGGGTACCGTCTGTGTAAATACCGCAGACGGGGAGGCCATTCTGGATGAAATCCTTTTCTCTTGTACCCTTCCCCAGTTGAAGAAACTCGAAATCTCTGGCATCAGTGGCAAACCGGGAAGATTTTCTTTTCATTACAATTTAAGCTTCAAGAAACATTTGGAATCCTTGACACTGCAGTTCGAGAAACACAACCATTTCGTTCATTGGCAAGACATCTCCTTTCCCACAAACCTACGGAGCCTCAAGATGTACGGCCATGTAGAGGAGCTGCCAGGGGACATCAAGAATCATGATAATCTGGTGAAGCTGACATTAGAGATGACTACACTGTTCACAGCAGAGGTCATAGAGGTCCTCGGGAGCATACCAAATCTGCAGACTCTACGCCTCCACGTCAACAAGGATCAAGATGGTGAGCTCCAATTTCCCTACAGATACCCTTTCAGCGTCAACAAGGATCAAGATGGTGAGCTCCAATTTCCCTACAGATACCCTTTCAGGAAACTCCAGGTCCTCGAGATTGCCTGCAAATCCAAGTTGCATCTAAGGTTTCACGAGGGTGCGATGCAGAAACTTGAACATCTGAATCTCAGCTTCCTTGAAGGGTCAGAGATGCAGTTTTCTGGGCTAGAGCACCCAGTTTCCCTCAAGCAAGTATGGCTTGTTCTGGGTTCCTACGACGAGGCACTCAAGGAAGCAGTCCTGCAGCAGCTTGCCAAGAATCTGAAGAAGCCTGCTCTGAAGCTGGAGGTTCAGCCACGTTCATCCCAGGCGTCAAGATCCTAATTACTAGATAGTAATTATTCTTTCTTCTTCTTCTTCTTCTTCTTCTTCTTCTTCTTCTTCTCTTGTCTCTTCTGCTGTCTTATAATCTTGTGAGAGTGAGCAACGACTGTTGTGTATATATTCCTGTTCCCGCGTTGAATGTGGATACTTATTCAGTTAGAATTCTATATTTTGTTGTCTTACCCAATTACTATCTAGTTGCAGTACTGTCTGCCGTCTGTATATGGCGGAAAAGGCCTGTAATAAGCAGATCATTACTGTACTGTTGTCATGTATTTGTCAGCCCAGTACATGATGTTTCTTAGCTAATAACTACGGAGACAAAACAGGCATTGGTCCCATCATATTTACGTGGTTTCAGCTTGCACCTGCAAATAAAAGCAAATTATCAACCGCTCTACTGAGGTTGCTTGAAAATTAACCCAAGTTTGGACGCGACAAATCAAGACGGTTGAAGCCATCCCAGGCATCCTCATTAACAGAAAAAACAAAAAATAAGGCTTCAGCCGTCTTAAGCTAGCATAATTAATATCCAGAGCTGCACGCAGCACCTTAGCTTGCACCTGTAATAATGGAATTTTTCTGATCTTTATTTTTTTTAAAAAAAATAGTAGAGGTGAATAGAAACCTCGCTTAAATTTAGATGTCCTCCCACCTGTGCGTCCACGCTAGCAATACTCTTAGAATCCCTTCATTGAAGCCACCAGAGGCTGAAACAGAGGAAGCCAGTATATGTTGCAGGTTTTCGCTAAAATTGTACATGTTGCAACTATACACACGTGCCGGTCGATCAACGCTGCTTCCGATGCCGCAGCTAATGCTGGTGACGGTGATTAGATCTACCAATTGAACAGTATGCTGTGATTTTCTCCTTTAGGATTTCTGGAATTTGGTCCAATAAATAAAGATTTCTTAGAACTTATTTTTTTCTTGACGACTGAAGTGTTAGTATAAGACTAAGTATAAGGTACAAAAGCGCGATCGATGCATCATCTGTTAACATTGGACAAAGTCGAAAATTAATTCGTTTAAGAGCGTGCTGTTGAAGGGTCATTTGTCAGCCGAAGGGTTTTTCTTCTCGTTTTTCACCAATGTTTTCACCAAATTAATCTGTTATAAAATTGCACCAATTTTTGTTTTCTTCTCGAATGAATAGTCAGTCGAAGGGGATTTGTCGGCCTTATTTATATATTGTATATGACTGGTTGCAGCAGGTTTTTTACGCTAAAATTGTGCAAGGTTGCAACTTTAGACGCGCGGGTCGATCAGGCTGCTTCCGATGCCGCAGCTTCCGAAACTTTCACGTTACTGGACATATGTATGTATTGGGCCGGTTTAAGATCTCGCCGTCCCAACACCGTTTTCTTCGTAACGGATCGAGCCCACCCACGTCTTTCGAAACTCGCATGAGGGGCCACCGGGGAAAACAAAAGCAGAGCTTCATAGCCTTTTGTGTTTCCACTTGGGCTAGGGCCTCGCTGTGATGGACAGGACAGCCCACGCTGGAACAACGACACGCTGTTTCCTTCGCTCGTACGGCTAGTTCGGTCCCCGTTCGCTTTCGCTGATTTGCTATGAGAGAAAAATACTATTACGAGGTTCTCTCTACCGTGTTGTCATTTATTCATTATTATATTATTCATTATCAGTGGAGTATGCACTGTAGTACATGCGCTTAAGGAAAGGTTACTTTTAGCCACTTTGTGTTGGGTTGTGAATGAACTAGATAAGATAAGTACTGAACCATGTGAAACCATATGTGCATAGCTAGGGCCCAGGATGAACGCGACTTGTGCTGTGTCTGGTCGTACTCGTATCTGTCAGCAAGCTAGTGTCAGCACCCGCACCACTACATCATCAACCCAAGAGGATAAACGACGACGGCCAGCCTGATGTTCACAGCGACATTCAAGCCGAGTATGGGCCACGTCGAGGAGGACATGACCGCAGGCCCAACATACGAGTCCATAGGCCGGAGTGGAAGTGACCGACCACCAGCTGGCAAGAGTGCCGTGTCATTTCAATATATGTAATCGGAGAGAGAGGGGGGATAACAATTATTATGAACAAACTCTGTAAACTGCCGAGCACTCCTCCGTTCTTCGTCTAAGAACTCATCCTTCCCCAGAATTGCTGCTTGTTCTTCTGTTGATTACTTGCTATCCTGTATCCCCTACTCCTCTGCGTACAGCTAGGCACAGGGTGATTCTTCTACGATTAATTAATCTGATGACAGAAGTGATTATATTGGTGTTCCATTGTGCTACTGCATGAAGCTGAGAATGTGTTTGTGGAAGAGGGCTCGCCGGTGAAAATAAAGTGGAAGGAAAGCGAGGCCACGTTTTGCTGGTGGCGCTGGGCCACACCGTCGACCACCAGCTCAGTCACCGGAGGAAGCTGAGTTCCGCCACCCCACGTCGTGGTCTCATCCGAGTCACGGACATGCCGCATGCGAGTGGGACCCCTGGACTTGGTGATCAGTCCAAGAACACACTGAGATAGATGGTGACACAGCAGTGAGATTTTTCAAGGACGGTTTGAGCGGACACGGTGAACAGAACAGACCGACAGCGGCAAGCAATCATGGACATAATTGTCAGATGCACGACCTCCGAGCACTACACCATCTGCCTTGTGCGCCACAAGCTTTAAGGCTGCCTATCCACGGTGCACTGAACCACAACCAGGCGCAACAATAATTCTTTTCGAAAGCGTGCGTTGAACCGTCACCGTGCCAATTTTTCTTTTCGAAAGCGTGCGTTGGCACAATAATAATTGAGTCCACGTCCACTCCCGCCGTTGGTCTTTAAGCAATCCTATGCTAGTGGTCTTTGTACTGTATCAGGCTTTGAACCGTCACCTAACGTGGCCAGTAGCTGCACGTACGAAAACAATGGGAAAAAAAAATATTTGGGCATAGATGGCACGTACGAAGTTTTTTTTTCTTTTGACAAAATTTGTAGTGACTCACGCAAATGCGCCCCCGGAGCCATACAATTTATTAGACATCGAATAGTTAAAGTAATCTATTACTTTATAGAATGTAGTAATTGGTGAATCATATGTTTGTTTAATTTTAAATTTCGGGAAATTGAATAAATAACAAAAGTTTAGCCATAAAATTCGTTTTTCTAGATTTAATTCATGCACACGTGATCTTTGGATGTGGTAGACTTTTTTTTATATGATAGAAGTTAAACGTTTGTATGTTTGAGCATTGATTAGAAAAATTATATATTTATGATATAAGATCTATGTTTTTAGATTTATTATTGTAAAACAATATTTTTTTAAAAAGACGGAGAACTAATATTATTTGATTTAGGAATAAGCTAACGTGACACGTAATAATAAGCAGGAAGTAGTAGCCTGTGCTGTCCTCACACAGTACGAGAACAACGACAGCGCACATGCAGTAAGTCCACGTCACTGGCTATTAGGAGGGGGCCAGCTCGCACATGGACTCAATGGCCTCTGTGGCAGTTGAAAACCGACTCAATGGGCTGAGGTGGCACCTCATGAGTCGACTCAAGCTAGAACCTCCGACTAGGTCATGGTGTGTGTCAGGAGTCGATGCAAGCAGATGAGCCGACTCGTGAGGATTAAAAAGATATTTCGATACAGTACCACCAACGGCCAACTACCCGACGGAGCGCAGGAGGCTGGAGCCGCACGCAGCGCCGTCGTTGTCGTCACGGTGGAGGCCGGGCCACGCACGCCGTCGTCACCACGCGGGAAGCCGGAGCCGCGGCGCCACCACCGCTGCCGTGCGCTCCGTCTTCACCACGCGGGAGCTCGGGGGCACGCCGCGTGTCGGTGTTTTGAACAGCCGATTAGTAAATTTGTATATTGCACATCTAACCCGAATGGTGTGCTAAGAGGACACAAAGATTATACTGGTTCGGGCTGAATATTTCTACATCCAGTTTCGGGCTACTTGTGTTACCAGCACTGACTTTGTAGTAGGGGGTTACAAACTGTCAAGAGAGGGAGGAGCTCCCAAGTCTCTGTGGTTCGATTGCTCGATGCTTCTACTGCTCGATCTATTAGTCGATTGATCTCCACCCTGAATGGTGTCCTGCCTTCCCTTTTATAGACCAAGGGGAGAGAACATGATACCAGAGACCGAGAGAAGGGAAGAGGGAAAAAAGAAAAAGAAATAATGCTCCCGGGGGCGTGCCGTCCTCCTCTTCGCGTGGGTCCCACTGACCCTATAGATCGTGGTGGCAGCGGCGTCGCACCGGGGTCCTGTTGGCTGCTGCAGCATACGTGCGGGCTTTGTGCGTCGTTCTTGTCTTCCATCCCATCTGAGCGGACGGAATGGTCATAGGGTCCCCTGACAGAGGCCATAGGGGGGGGGGGCGGACGGTACAGTGCCAGTCAACTGACGCCGATCGACTGGCGTTTGGACGGTGGTCAGCCAGGAAGTTGGCAGCATAGTGCTGGCCTGTTGACGCGGTGGGGGACGTGAACCTCCCAGCATGGCCTGATGCGACCGCCAGTTGTGTCAGGACGTGGCCGAGACGTGCTCCCGGGCGTGCGCCTCCACGCCGTAGTGGTTGAAGCAGTTTGGGTCCCACTGCTTTTGTCCGGTACCAAATCCGGCCCCCAAGGAACGGAAATCTCGCCCTGGGGGTCGGGCGAGACGGAATCCAACCCTCGGGGATCGGACGAGGTGGAGCCCTCCCCGTGGGACCGGATGAGTCGGAACCCGCTCCCTGGGTGAGAGGAGTCGCAGCCCACACCTTGGGATCGGACGAATTGAAATCCTCGTCCGCGGAGTCGGACGAGGCGTGGTCTGGCCCCTAGGGGTCGGACGAGGCCGCAGTTGCGCCTTTAACCATCGGATGAGCCAATGTGATGCTCATTAATCCTTTGGCTCGGAGGGGAGGATCGATTGGGCGGGGACTGGAGCCACTAGCACCGGTGGGGAAGGCTGGGAAGCGACGATGCTGTCGGGCCATGGAGAGTAGGACCGTGTAACGACCCAACAGTCGTTC